AATTGAACATTGGGGTCGGATGTGTCATTATTCAATAAAAAACTTTTGTCTAATTTTATGTGGAGAAAATTAAGTTTAGGGACTAAAGTCAAATTTTTAGTACGTAAAATTAATTAGATTGTGTGGTGTGTATATTTTTAACACCATAAGGGGTGGAAAACGGATATGAGCTTCTCCTCCATCATATATTTGTCAGAACTATTTGTTGGGAAGTGAGTAGTTTAACTTCAAGTGTTAACATAAAGATAATTACATGTAACAAATGAAATAGTTTAGAATATGTTATCAAGTGATACGTTTCACTATCTGACGTAATAGTTTGTTAGTAGTTAAGTGAATGACTTAGTCTCTAAGTCATTGCTCTGCTTTTGATTTCTCATACATTCTTGTTTAATCATATCCTTTAATTACGTTTGATTGATCTAATTTGATGGCTAGAAACAAAGAAAGGTGTGTGAGAAACTAAAAAAAATACGTAAAAATCACTTCCCATAACTATTGAGGTATCATTTGTAAGAGTGAATTACACAGTTGAACTACAGAAAACCTCTCTCTTTTTTCCTATATTTCTTCTTCATAAGTCAATTACACTTGAGCCCTAATGTTTAGGTGATATAACAATTTGGTTCCGCGCGATATTTTAAAAATAGAGAATAACGACTTTGTTAAACTACGCTCATCTGGTCAGATTTTTTTTTTTTTTTTTTTGGTCAAACTATTAATTATTTTTTAGTTAAATGCTTAGTGAAAAACATCGTAATTTAAGGAGGGTTGTCAATTTCATAGACCATGTATGTTCCAATTAAACCAGAGTCTAAGATTAACACACAGAGATGCAAAATGGAAGTGATACAGATTTCGACACTTGATGCAAAAGCTTGAAACAGAACTTATCCATAGAAAAAGACTCTACTTAAGCATGGTTTAATTTGTAGAAGTTAACCCCAAGCTAGCTAGAGACATGAAACTGGTGGTTCTACAATTCCCTTAATTACTCCATGCACACTGTGGCAGCTTGATGTTATTTTCATGTCTGGATCTGCCGAGGCCAACTGACAGTTTTCTAAGGTGATTCCAGTACATGGGACTGGTGTGCTGCAATTCAGATTGATAGCTACTTCCGAAATGGATGTCCCAACTGCCCCACTGTAGCTCACGTCGCTCATTTGAACCGCAGTGCTCTGCAACCAGGCATATACAGTATTAATTACACAACAATTACTATGTTAGATTAAAGTTCCGTTTGATTGCCATTTCGTTTATAGCTTATACTTAATAGTCGTTTTTGTATTAAGGACAGCGAAGATTGACATCGTAGAAATCAGTGATTTATAAAGATTTTGTTTTCATTCAATCTTTTTTATTCTTCCCCTCCCTCCCACCACCCTTTCACATCCTTCATTTTTCTCATATCCTATACTATCTTCTCGTCTCTAACACTAAAATTGAAAACTAAAAATGAAATGATAATCAAACGACTCTAAATTTGTCAAAATTTTATTCTTACCAGTTCATGGCAACCCTCTAGCTTGTGACAGAAATAGTGTTGGTCGATGGTAATTGGATTCCCGACTTCCTTGAAAGTTAAATTGACGAATGAAACTCCGTGGACCAATCCTTTTCCAGTCTGTTATATATATGAATAGCAAAAAGTAATTATAATAACAAAATTTGTCCCCGAGTGTATCATTTCTAAAGTAAAAGGTCAAAGTATTATTGTACTGCGGACGAAATTACCTCCCAAGTCTTGATGCGCGCCCCATTCTGTGTCCCATAGAACCGAGCACTGTGCACGGTGATATTCTCAACCCTTGTCTCATTCCGCTGTTCCCTAAGCTCCCAATGCTATATATTGCCAGTGAAACACCACCGAGATAACACATTAACATTTTCGGCTTCTACAGATTAGTTTACTAAGTTCTGTCTAATACTATTCTACCTTACTAGTGCTGTGTTGAAAAATTTTTCTTTCTACATTTGGATTCAGAAAAGTATCGTAATGATATGAAAAAAAAATAAGTTAAGGAAATAAATGGCATACCTTATGCCATGGCCAGGTCCGCATGATACGTCAGTTATATAAATGTGTGAACAGTAGTCTCCGATGGATACACAATCGTCGCCTATTGATCAACACTAACATAGCATAGGTAAATTAATTGAGTTTTGTTAACATAGGAAAGGTAAATTATTTCCCCACGTTCTTTTTTTATTTCTACAGTCTTTTTTATGTTTTGTCTCTGAATTCTCTTTTGATTTAGATCAGTCCAAAATAAACAACAGTGCCGAAGTACTCGAAAATTCTAGATATGAAAATTCTACCGGATTTTAGTTCTGCACTATGGATTTCCGCATGTTTGGAGTCTTGAATGTGAAAGCCATCAGTGTTGGGGCTGGTTCCAGGTGAATCTGTTTTGATGAATGAGAAATAAACTCCCTCAGATCCCCATACTAGTATATGAGTTTGTGGAGTATTTACGACGTTGATGTGGTCCATATGAACTTCTTTACAGCCTTGAAACATAAGTACCTGCAACGCAGCGCATATATGGAATGGAACTTCATAAGCATAACACGCATGTATACGTTTCTAATTTTTCTTCAATGATACGTATATAATTACAAACTTTGAAATGAAATTACAAAGGAGCGCTTACTGTAGGTGCGCGGCCTATACATCCCTGTTGAAAAAGGAAACCGGGTCAGTTGCAAAGATAAGGATAGAAACTCAAAAAATTGAAGGAACTCAAAGTTAACTTTATATATAAGAAATTTATTCAAAATACATCTAACTTCTTTGAAGGAAAGAAACAAATGCGTAAATAATACAGACATAATGTAGCAAGTTTATTGAAGTAGTGTGCTTCACCCTCTACAATATATCTTATCAACCACACATTTTAATAAGTATTTGGTGCTACAATCACCCCAGATAGCTATATTTATGGAAAGAAAGTGGAACAACAAAGTCATTTATTAAAAACTAAAGACATATTACAATAGTAGAACAATATACGCTAAAAATTAGTAGTAGCCATTTTCCACTCCCTCCTTTCAGATGGTTTAGAATAAAAAAAGGGTCCTTTTGTTGTGTTAATGCATGTATTATTGAAAACACCATAATGAAAGTTTGAGGAGGTCCTGAATTCAAATTTTATAGACAACCGTTGTTAATAAAAATAAACGGACTGCGTACTTTTAGACATAAGAAGCATTTCAACAAGTAAGCGAGCTTGAACTTCTTATTAGTAGAAAAGGGAATTGAAATTGGGGGAGCTGGGCTTACCAGTGTGCTTCGGCAAAAACTTAAGGGCAACCAAGATTTCGAAACTTGCAGAGTTTTTGCTCTCGCCTAGATTCGGTTTGACAGCTGTAGCTTGTCCCGTGTATTCAACTCCAATTCTATGGCGATAGTTATCTCAAGAACATCCTTATTGATGAATTCTAAACAATCTCTTACGACTTCTTTTTTTGGAATCATTCTTTTTGTGTTCTTGATAACCCATGAAATTGACACTTCCCCACCATCCATTCTCAGTTAAGTGAGAATGTTGATTAGTTTGATATCCTTGCATAGAGCACACGTCAAATGTAACCACCCTTTGCATCTTTCGCCCTTTCAAAATTTGCAACTTAAGAGAAGCCATTTTAGCTACAAGTTTTGATAGATTGGCAACTACAATGTCTTGCTTCTCTAGTACCTGAAATCAAAGAAAGTTAAAACAAAATCAAATATCAAAAGAAAAACAAATGAAAACACATAGGGATTAGCAAATTTACTAATCCTTGGCAATGTCACCAAAATTTGATGTGGTAGAAATTAACACTCAAATTAATCCTTGCAATCAATGTGATTATAGTAAGAGCAAGCAAGGATCATTTTATTCTGGCGAGTGGAAGGGCTGCTAATCAAGACAAACTAAACAAATAATATTAAAAACCAAATTAACCGTGAACATCACTAATTAACTTTCAGATTTTTCTAAGCTCAAAGAATCGAACAAAGCCTCGCACAACTCAAATAGTAATTCTCAAGTTTTCTAACTATGAACAACATATGGTAATACATATCAACGTTCATTAAGATAAGTGTAAGTCATAAGTATTGACGAAGCAATTGTAACTATGAACAACATAATACTTCTGCCAGAAATATTTACTTAACTCAATCATGAATAGTGAATTTCCTATTATGAACACAACTTCATAAAGATTATGTGACACTCCCATATATTCCTAGTCTTGAGTTTGGAGTTGAAAATGATGCACTTTGGCTTACAGTTCCACAATGTTTGGTTTTTTGCCGGAACCTGAGGTATCTAACACTCATGGCCTTAGTCAAATAGAAAACATCCTCTCAAAGCTTTTAACCGGAGAATGATCCATATTTTTGTCAAGTTCGTGCCTCAAACCCAAAAATAAGAATCAAACTTGACTTGAAATTCTACCGCATTTTCACTTAAATACTTGCCGTGGTTTGTCACAATGTTCTCAATACACCATGAACGGCGCGGAAATTGGAAAGCAATCGGTTTTCCATTAATCTATTGGTTTATATTATGCTTAAATATGTATTTTTGTTATAACAATTTTGTCATCGGAGTCCAATTTCCAAAGTATACGAGACTCATAGTTGAGGACTGTAAATTTGCTCCGACGGTTCTATTGCGCCTACAACTCGATTGTTAACCATTCTCCTCCCTCACGGCCTATCTAAAACGCTTTTGGCTTTTTGGGTAATTGCAGTCTAAATTGAGGGTATTATAGTCTATTAGTTTTGGCTGTGCTTGATAATTTTCATAGAAACTGACGTTTAACAGGTAAAATTTTGGCTATAATCGATTAAAAACTCGAAAAGAAGGCCTACAACTATGAATGTTTTGATAAATAAGCACTGTTGATGTCTAAAAGATGAGAGGAAAATATACCAAAATCATTTCATCCATCAAGTAAATAAATACAGGAAATTAAATGAGCATAAACTTTAGTGAAAAGAAATCTTGAGTTAAAACTACCATCACATTATCATAAACAATTCAGCTAAATCTCAACCGTACAGATCCTCTGCTTCCTATAACAAAAGCATCCTAAATCCTCTTCCCTTACAACAAAATAGTCTACATTCAAAACAAATGTGCTACTAACTGAACCGGAACAAGGCAACCAGATTCAGAGTCCACCGTCGCTCGAATTTTGCAGGGTTCCTTTCGGAAAATGATTACACTTGCACTGCGTAAACCATAACGATTTGTGAGTATATCTGTATCAGAAATTACTAGCACAAGGCAAGAGTGCCACAAGACTTCATCATGATTCAAGATTTTTCTTTTTTCTTTTCCTGAACAGAAAAAAAAAAAAAAAAAAAACCAAGTCTCTCGATTCATGCTTGTCCCATTCACTATTGCTGCTACTTCATTCATCGTTACTGTGTTAATGCTTATACCAGATCATGTACAATTTATGAAAAAGGATATCTTACTGTAAGTAGAAGTATCAATTTGCTCGGGAAGCTCCTTTATGTCCACCTCAAACCTTGACTGGACCTGAAACGATCGATTTGGATTAAGAGAAGGAATAGCAGAAGCATAAGAAATTCGGCCTGTATTGAATTATGTTTATATGGTTATGTATTATATACATACAGTACATACGTACGCACACAACTTACCTGATTAAGAACTTCTGAATCCGATGCAGAAGATACAAATGTAATTGCTAGCCCCTTGGTACCAAACCTACCAGCTCTGCCAACCTGTGAAGGAAGGAAAACCCATCAGCCAGAGTTTAGGAACAGTGTACACCCCGGACAAACATAGGCAAAACAACAAAACTGTTAACACGGATATGCAAATGAAACAATACCCTATGCAAGTAGGTATCAGCAGAATCAGGCATGTCATAATTGATAACAATGTTAACACGCTCAATGTCAATTCCCCTTCCTACTAAATCTGTTGCCACAAGAATTCTTGAAAGCCCCTCCTTGAAATTCTTGTAACGTTTTAGCCTGCAAGCGGAAAACCATGCAAATTAGATGAGGCTAAATCCCACACAACAATTTTGGCACTCCTTTTTAGCCATCTGCACTCCAAACTGAATTTACAACTTCATCTAAATGTCTAATGCACAAACAAGATAGCAAAAGAAAACAAGCAAAAAAAAAAAAAAGCAATTCAGAAACAACTAAGCAAAAACAAAACATCCTCCAATCACGTGGAAATGATAGTAAAGTCAAACCAACCAAACCATACAATTACTGACATAAGATTCATAAACATTTTCTAAACCATGTAAATGGTCCCCTATTATTCATAAGGAAAAGAAAAAAGAAACAATGGCCCTTTTTGTTGATTTTCAATTTCTAAAACCAGACCAGAATCAGTGACATTATTGGGTGCTAATCATGCCATATGCAACAAATACTGGAGAAATAAGAAAATGCTAAATAGGTAATCAGAAATCCCGAATATAATTATGCTAAAACAATGCAATTACTTCCTCTAAATGCTTCGCCTTATGATTTACACATCATCCTCTGGAGCCAAATGTATCAAGTAGAGATCTAGTGGACAATCACAGGAACAGGAACCATAGTTAATGGATGCTAATCGACAGGAGAGTCCCAACTAAGGAAGTAGGTAGATTAGTCACTGAGTTGGGTCAGATGAGGCCTCGTTTGGCAGCTCGTATAAGGAACCGGATAGTACTAATAATACGAACCTAGTTGTTTGGTGCATAATGTGTAAAATAACCACCGGATAAAACAATCCGGTCCCACAATTTTAATACACCCTACACCCGCTTAGTTATCCTCTCCTATACGCTGGTATAATTTAGTCAGGCGTCCGCTTTTCTCTAACCCTCTCTGCTTCTGCGCATTGCGACCAAGTTGTTGCCGCTCTTTCTCCCTCCGTCCATCCTAACTGCTAGCAGAGGCTCCAGTGACGGAGGAACCCAAGAAGGAAGGATAGCCAGCTAGGCAGACGAAACTCAGAACTCCATAAGAGAGGAAGTCTGTACAGCCAACACCTAATATTAAAACCGTCGCTCAACCTCCATACTTTCAGTTACTTTAATTCGTGATTTTAGATCCCGGTTTCTTCATTTTCTCCATTTTTTGCTTTTGGGTTTTCTACTTTCAGGCACTTTAATTCGCGATTTCATATCGATTCTTCATTTTCTCCATTTTTTGGTTCTGGGTTTTCAATTATGGTGCTCAAATCGAGATTTCTGATTCAATTTTTGCATCTGGAGCGCTGCAGTTGAAGAACTCGGCAGCGAGAGGGAAGCTGATCAAGATCAGGGCTTCGTACAAGCTCTTCAAGGCAAGCAAGATGGAGAAATGTGCACAAACAAAATCAAAAGGACCTCATTTGTGGATTATTCTGTCAATTTATTTTCCCTTTTATTCATTTTATTAACAATTTTTTTTTCTTAAAACTAATATGGAAATTGTTTTTGATAAAAAATAATAACAGTACGATTTATATGGTACAGTACCAAACACAGTATTAAAGAATTGATCTTTAGTCCGATACTGCACCAAACGCCTGACTAATTTAGTCAGTCCTATCCGATGACTATTTATCCTATCCGATTGAAATAGTCAGTATAGTCCGAGCTGCCAAACGAGGCCTGAGGGTATTATTTGGAAGGACTATGATCATTGTAATATCTATAGAATTGATTATACTTGATGATGATACTCTCAAAAAATTACGTCCACTGTATCTAAGCTTTATAGCCAGCTGGAGCAACAGTGAATAGTTATAATAAAAAGGGAGTTTTAACCAAAAGCCCACGGTATTGTTCACTTTAACGAAAAACCACATTTTTACAGTAAAAAAGTCAATCCTGGTACTATTTACTTTACCCTTTATTTTGTCCTTATCATTAAAACTCAAAGTTTTCAAGCCCTTTCCATTAGTTTTCCTTAATAAAAATGATTAAAAAGTAATTAACACATCTGTACTTGCAGATCATAATGCATTCACACGGTAAACCAACAATATATCCCAAAAAAGAGCACAGGCATAACAATATATCCCAAAAAAGAGCACAGGCATACGAAATTATAAGCTGGGGCACAGACTTGCATAAGCCTGCTTGAGGCTAGAGTGAACTACAGGGACCTACAATTTCTCAAGGGTGGTGCTATCCACACTCATTTTTACTTCTCATACCCCCCCCTCTCAATTTCCGACCTTCTGATCGAATGAAATGAAGAAGATCAGTGACATAAATTGACAAGGGTCTGTAGGAGGTAAAAGGGGGTGTGAATAGCACTACCCTTTCTCAATCAAGAATTAAAGAACCAGAATTGCATCTATTAGGACAGAAGTCTGACAGTTTACAATGTAGTACATAAGAAATCAAATCAACGCACCAATTTCATAATACTCTAATAAGCCAAAAGTATACTAACTTAACTTTAAAAAAAAAAAAAAAAAAAAAAGAATTTCACTCTTTTAGCGTAAAAAAATTGGGCAACATTTGGATAGTAGAATAACACAACCAAGTACATTATTAAACCCTTACTATGAATGGTAGCAACTGTTAGCATATGTTTTCAGTAAGAGTGGTGATTTTCACACCCCCCCAATTTACTTCACGCACACCCTATTATTTGCTTTATAGTTTTTTATGTAATTATATATAGGGTAGTGATTTTCACACAACCCATGTTACCTCTCACACCCTCAAAAACCATTGAACAATTAAAAGGGTGTGTGAGAGGTCAAATGGGGTGTGAGAAAATAATATATGGAAGAAGGCTTGACACTCACACATTCTATGTCATCAAAAGGGATGGAAGGCATACCTTTCTTCCTGAGGCATTCCAGAGTGAATGCAGATGGAGGGGAAGTTACAGTCAGCAAGTAACTTGTTCAGCTCAGCTGCCCTGCTTACACTCTTTACAAAAATAACAACTTGGTTGAAATCCAATGCATCAAGGAGGTCAGTCAACTTGCGGTTTTTCTCAGGCTCACTCAATTTGATGTAGTGCTGCAGCAAGAAAGCAAAAGGGTGAGCGAGCAAGAAACACTTAACCAACAACACAAGAAATCATCAATCAGATTCACATGTTAGACTTACCTGTACGAGACCATGAAGAGTCAATTTGGCCTCATCATCCACATAAATTTCCATGGGCTGCAACAAACAAATATGATCACAAGTTGAATTAAAACACAATGGCCTCCAATGCTCCATAATAAGCAAATGTGAACAATAAGACCAAGAAGCAGTATCCATAACATTCTATTATTATAATTATACTCTTTAAGACGAAGAAAAAATCTCGTATGCTGCCTGACACAGGCAGACTGTTATATGATTGCTCAAAAACCTTGGGATCAGATTCACCTGTCAAAGCAGATCGGTTGAGCAAAATTCTCATAAATTAGGAGTAAGACCATTAATTAATATTATACCAACTATATGCACTCAAAATAAGGTGATTATTCTAAATTCATGTCAAGGATTAAAGTGAACATTACATCTTGCATAAACTTCTTGCAAACAGGGCGTATTTCCTTGCTTAGTGTTGCTGAAAACATCATCACTTGCTTGTCATGAGGAGTCAACTTAAATATCTCCTGCACATCTCTCCTCATGTCTGAAAAAGATAGAACAAATGGAGAAATAAATCAAACAAAACAAAAACAAGTTTTTCCACAGTGAAATTGTAGGAAATGTCCTTTTAACAATTAGCCGCAAAACACTTACCAAGTGACTCAAGCATCTTATCACATTCATCAAGAATAAAATGTCTGACATTCTTCAGTCCAAGCTCTTTGTCTCTTGCCAAAGCTAATACTCTCCCAGGTGTACCAACAACAATGTGAGGACATTCATTTTTTAGCAAATCTTTGTGAACCTTGATACTAACACCTCCATAGAAAACTGCAACCTTCAGGTCCGGCAAATAAGTACTAAACCTCTCGAATTCATGACAAATCTGTACCAAGAAACACAGAGGTTAGTTCATGAAACAGAAACTGAACATAGAAATGTACGACGGAAACATTTTTTGCATCATATCCAACACACATATATATGCATCACACACTCATGCAGAGATCAGCATTGTAATAGTTCAAAAATAGATTTCTCTATACTTAAATTCACAGAACATACCTGGTAAGCCAATTCTCTTGTGTGGCAAAGAATAAGAGCAGCAACCTGACCAGCTACTGGATCTATTTGCTGAAGGGTTGACAGAACAAAGACGGCAGTTTTTCCCATCCCAGATTTTGCTTGACAAATAACATCCATTCCTAAGATAGCTTGAGGGATGCACTCATGTTGAACTGATGAAGCAAACAAAATCGTACCGGACGAAACCTCAGTAAGTATAAATGACCTTCCAGATCCATTTAATGGAAAGGTTTACCAAACCAGTTTTCTTGCCGAAATCATGAATATGGAATTAGTGATTACCTGGACAGAAAAAAGAAAAAAAAAATTCAGAAACAGTTAAACATGGAAGATGCTTAAAAAAGTACAACAATCTTTCCATTCTCACATTCCATGTAACAAAAATAAGTTGATGAGGGAGTGTTCACATCTCTAATTGCAAAGGATATTGATATTCATACAATCATTTTTACCTTTCACACACCCTTGTTAATTTTTGGCCATTGATCTTCTTCAATTCATTCAATCCGACGGCCGAAAATCGAGAGGGGTATGTGAGAAGTAAAAATGGATTTGTGGATAGCACTACGCATTGTTGCATGTTTCAAATTAGCAATTCCTATGGCACATCTAATCTAACAGATAAAAACAATGGAGGAAAAAACACAAGGCATTCGAATATTTAAGATGGATAACAATTAGATACTTGACATCAACAGCTTTATTGAAATTTCAAACTTACAGAAACTCATCCAAAGAACTGATATATCAACGCCATCTCATACCAGACCAACTAAACTCCCAAGAAGTTAAAAGTGATTCCCAGACCAGCTAAACTAACAAGAAGTTAAAAGTGATTCGGAGTCTATAGCGTGCTCAAGTTGTATGCCAAGAACTCACAGTCATTTACTTTGTAACCAGGAACACAAAATGAGATGTAACCATATATAATTATCTAACAATCCTTTCCCAACCAAAAGATCAAAAGCCTAATGTCTCTTGAAATTTATTTCAAGAATAACCAATGATATCAAATGAAAACAAAGAGTAGAACTTTGCCTTCCGAAGGATGTTCGAATCCAGAATCCACAATTGCTCGAAGAAGCTCTGGCTTCAACAGGAAGTCTCTGAATCCCGAACTATGGATGCCAACATATCCCCTGAACCATATTATATAATAGGTTAGAAAGAACAGATTTTGGGGACTAAAACCAAAAGAACATTAAATCATCGCAAATATGAATTACAGATTAGCTAGACATACAGCACATCTTAACAAATTTTTGGTGTCATTCATCGAGCCATAACAAAGAGATAAGACGCATTACCCTCCACTGAGAAATTAAGAAACTGCAATTTCCATAAATCACTACAGTATCATGTTTTTCCCACACTAACCACAGTAATGCCTAGAGGAAGGTTAACTTTCCAGTCTAATTTCTTTTATTCGGACACGCAATTATTAGATAACTATACTTGGGCTGCTATATCTCAACCTTATTCACAATGTCAACCTTATTCAGTTGATTAAATCATCGAAAACACATGAGGCAAACCAGCACAAGACCCTAAGTAAAAATGCTATCAAATTTTTTCCTGAAGAATTTAATGAGCCGAAGGAACCCATACTTTATATACTTGTTTCCTCAGTTTCACCAATCAAATGCAAACAATACCAATAATCTAAGAACAAACCGACCGGAAAAAATAAATAAATAAATAAATAAAGCAAGTGTAACTTAAAATCAAAATTTTAAAAAATACAACTTTTATCTATTACATACATAAGCAAGGAACCCAATTGATCGGTGATAGTAATTTCAGGTGATTTTTATATCAAAAATTAACAAATACAGATTTACAATAAATAAAATAAACTGAAGACACTAACTTTTTGACGGTATCGCCAGAAGGCTTGGCAGAGACGGAGTTGGGGGCGTTTTGGTCCTCCTCTTCGTAGTCGACGAGCTCCTCTTCGTAACCATCGTTGTCTCTGACTTCACCCATTCTATACACCCACCCAAAATTAGACTTTCAGCGAATACAATTTCACCAAGAATTGCGAATCAGAAACTTCAAGAACACATTCAACAGCTCAGATAGGGTTTTCCAAATTGCATACCTTTGAGCTTCCACTGAGCAAGAGAGAGAGAGATACGGAGTGATAATCCGCGGGTGCCGAGACCTCTGTGAAAATTTGAAAAAAAAAAAAGAAGTACAAAAATTGAAAAAAGTTTGGGGGAGAAGAATGAAGAGAAGGGGTGCCCTAGATCTAGGGTTTGGGTTCGGGGAGAGGGAAGAGAGGACTTAGGGTTTCGAATGGAGTGCAGAAGATATAGGAGTGTGGGGGACAGTGAGTGGACGAAATCACCCTCTCGGTTGGGTTGGACTCACCTAGACCTGCAGATTTTTCACAACGCGTTAACACAATATGAAATAATACAAAACATAACAATTTCCGATTAATGCATTAACCAATCTAGTCATTGTCAAATCATAACACAAAAAATAATAATTTCCAATTAATACATTAACTAATTAAGTCATTATCAAATCAACACATTAATATCGAGTTTTTAACAAATCTACCCACAAGTAATGCGTTTCAATTTATTTTTTAAAAAATGTTAATCCGATAATTTTCAACTACTAAACAAACCTAGTCTCACATAAACATCGACAATCATTATGTAGAAGAGAGTCCTAATATGGGTAATTTGTTTTAACCTGTTAGGTAAAGCTTTTCGCATTAATACTCTCTTCCACATAAACTAAGCATTGAAATTACCACCACCATCTAGGGGATTTGATATCTCTAAGAATCCCATACACGCCTAATATAGCCTCATCTCCCTCTTTTACACATCGTCGTTTATGTGAAGACATATCCATGGAGGCTCATCTCTCCCATGCCTCGATATATACTGATTCGTTAAGGATGATAACTCTCATAACACCGCTCTTTTCTAAGAATTACACGTGATTTGATTCTGCTCTCCAAAGATATGTAGGCAGTTTTAAAACAGATTTGCTACTCTCCAATCAACCCCATTCCCCCATGGTCTGGGCTCATTTGGTGATTTCAACAATATATCACATCCATCTGCGGATGTGCACAAATTTGATTTCAACAACAAAAATTAGAATGAATCACATGAGCATTATAAAGGGGCATGAGAGAGATTCTGTGATGTGCATCGCTCAGGTGAGGAAATGTGATGTGCTTTATACGTGCACATCTCATCTCTCTTAGCAAGACACGTTTTGGGTATGGAAGCCCAAGAAACAAAACTGGGTTGGCGCGGGCTTAAAACGGATAATATTTTAATGGGAAGTCAACTTTGACAATTTGCAAATGACTAGTTAGAATAAATTATTTACAATTCTCTTTTACATCGGTACATTTAAAATAATCTTGTAGTGCATTTCTATTTCTTCCTATGTAATGTTCTCAGACGTTGGATTTGCGAGTACTGAAGCATTTAAAATAAACCACTTAGAATTGTGCAACAATGATTTCGTGGAGGAGTTTTAAATGACTACTTAAAATGAGTCCATTTTTTATTCTCTTGCCTTTGTTGTAATGTTATTTATTTGGTTTCTAACCAATTTATCCAAATTCTATTGGTGGAAGTTCCTTATCCAAACATAGCCAAAGTTAGTTTGTGTTGGTAATTAAAATGAACCAAAGAAATAGTAAATTCACTTTAATCAAAAATACAAAGTGTCAACAAGCCCAGCATAGGATTGTAACTTAGCAGCACATTAAAGCAATTGCTTGTATACAGAACTAAGTAGAGGAGGTGAGAGATTCATCACCACCTCAATGCTGAGGTCACATTAAAGCACACGCCCTGAGCTCTCAAATTAACAAGATACACCCACCTCTAATAAGTGTGTAGCACACAATTGTTCTGCTCAAATTAAAAACAAAAGAAAGTAAAAAGCGGAGAAGGATCCTCTTCTGATCCTCTTTGTGAGAATCTAGATGATGAATCAATTGTATCTGTTCATCGTACATCGTATATCGTGCGGCCAATTTTCATTAAAGACTATTTATATTCAATTTTAAATTAAAAGTTTAAAATAATTTATAAACGCATGATGTACGATGAACGGACACGACTGATTAATCCTCCGAATCCCACAAAAGGGATCCGAAGAGGATCCTATTCCATAAAAAGTGTCTTTGCTCTACTAAAATCAACTTTTATTTCTAAAATTCCATGTTCTTGATACCATCAATCAACAACCCTCGCCACAAGCAAAAACCCAACAAACACATAATGCTAAAGCATCAATACACATTACATAGCAGAGCCCTAAATGACCTGAAATTAACCAGGAATCCTGCACTGCTAATCTCCTCTACATTCCCAGCTACATGCTCGAAGTGGAGGATGCTGCAGCACCGTTACACTGATTAAATCCATACCAAACACCATTTGGAATAAAAGAGTTGTAGTAAAACGTAACAGCCTTGGTGTAATGGCCATAGATTGTCACTGCCTCTGTTTTCCACCCATCGTATCCGCTCCGGTACAGATACACATAACAGATCTGGTATGTACATGGCCCCGAAATCTTAAACGTATCCGTGGAGCAGCTCTCGAATGTCCTCGAATACGGATCGTCGATTCTCGGAGCATACACCTGATAATCCAAGAAACAAAAAATCCAATATAATCTTTACTTATGAGTTTTATTAGTTGTACTTGCAGTACTTTTCACGTCAAAGTCATCTGTATGTTGTCAGACTGTTAATCCGGACGGTAAATCCAAAAAGTTGTATAGATTAAGACTAATATTACCTGATTGCCATAAGCATCACCAAAGGCAATACTGATCTGATCCCGTGTATAGCGGGGCGAAGAACAGCTGGTCTGTATTGATACAGTGTAAGAACAGCTCCCTGCGTTCTGCAAGAGTGACATATAAATTAATTTGTAGTTTAAGATTATACGGTAAATAATATAATCTGTGTATTAATCGAGAAGAATTGATGTTAATTACCTGGGTTTTGTTGATATTGAAGGATGTGAGAGGTTGGGGCTGTGGAATGATTGATCTGCTGCTGCCTTGTGCGAAGGTGAAGGTGAAGAGGAAGAAGAGGAAGCTCAAATGAAGAAGAAAACTCACAGCCTTCATCATTCTTGTTTTACTTTTCAATACTGTCTGTCTCATCGGGCAATAAGATCTATATACTAGAGTTCCCTCTCTTTACCCTTGGCATTAGTCTCCTTGTCATGTTGCCAACAAATCATTAGTTGTACTTGCACTAGATGAAAATCGCAGTGAATTCACCTGGATGATATAATGGTTAGAGTCTTAGAGACGAATTTTAGGTTTGTAGTTTTTAGATAAATTTTTAGTTTAATTCATAATGCTGATGAATCATATGATGGTAGCACGAAGAAGCTAAAGTACCATTGTAATTCTTAGCGGCATAGAAAAGCTAAAATACCACTATAATTCTTCTTGAGACTCGAAAAAGTGAACTGTTGTAGTAAAACTAATTGTTATTTTTTTTTTAAATCAAAGTAAATTTAGTGGGAAAGAAATCTTATCCGGATTTTTTCTTAATCCACCAAATCAGGTGATTCATGCTGTTGAAATTTGATCTAACAGATACAAACAGAAATTCACTTTAAAAGTTATAATAATTTAAATTGTTGGATCAAATTTTAACTGCACGAATTCTTTAATTTATGGATTAGAAGGAATGGTCTTTCCCAACCCTCAAATTAATGAGTATAGATCCAAACAAAGAAACGACAATTAATGTCCCTATGAATCCCAGCACAGGCTACCTGCTACCATGTGTCTATGCGCACTTCTTGTCCTCCTTTTGGTCCTTTCCCCACCTGCATCTCTCTCACTGCCAATATAGCGTGGCATTATCTTGCAATAAGCATCGGGCAGGAATATACTTCACAGTACACTGGTACAGTTGATATTTTTTTTTCTTTTTTCTTATCTATCACACTTGTACTATTTAACAAATTTCATTTTATCTCTATGCTTAATATTGTTTCGCTTTAACATCTACATTTATTGAACTTGTGATCATTAGTTAATTTTTCCCCTCAACTTTAATTTTGGTCAATTTCTCTCCTCAACTCTCATAATTAGTCAATTTCCCCTCTCAACTTTAATTTAGCAAATTTCTCCCCTCAACTCTTATAATTAGTCAATTTATACCCTATTGTTAATTTTTTAATTTGATCATAATTGAACAAGTGTGTGTAAGAAACTAAATAAGATGTATGTTAATCATGTTCCTATATCTTTATCCTATTACAAATAGATTAAAATTTAGAATTTTACAATTTATCATAGATAGTATTATTAGTCATGATAAATCAGTATGAAGTAATTTTATTTGATTTTTTACTATACAAAATTGATAACGAAAATGATTGATGTGTAAATTTTTGTATGTGAATACAATTTTCTTTATAAAAGTGAAGGCTAAGTTCAAGTAAATTGCGGAGAATCAAGCTTTAGTGAAAAAATTGCTAGTCTATTCATAATTTTCGACTCCTTATTAAGAATAACCCATTTTATTGAAATAGGTCTGATCCATGAGTTTAGGATTATTATTATTTCTTTTTGTTATTATTTATTCTTCTACATGCTTTAAACCCGATTCATAACTTTTTCTTATAATCAACCCATATCACATACTAATTGTATTATGTTTTTGTACATTTTACCCTATATTATGCAGGTGAGTTTATGTTAATTTTAGTACTTTGTTGTAAGTTATTAGAAAGATTGAAAATTAAGAAAAAAATAGATGGAAAATTAAAATAAAAAAAAATTAACAGTAGAGTGCAAATTGACTAATTTTGAGAGTTGAGGGGGGAAATTGGCCAATTTAAAGTTGAGGGTGGGAAATTGAGTAATTATGAGAGTTGTAGGGGGAAATTGGCCAACTTTAATTATGAGAGTTGAGGGGGGAGATTGACCAAAATTAAAGTTGAAGGGGGAAATTGACTAATTATGAGAGTTGAGGGGGGAAATTGGCCAAAATTAAAGTTGAGGGGGAAATTGACGATTTTTTTAATATTCCACTTTATCATATTCCGTCAATTAGTTAAGAAACCCTTAAATGTGCTGATGTGGCATGAAAAATTCGGTCTTCTCAATTACGTTAGTTGTGTGGCATGTGAAATGACGTGTTAGTGAAACTCATGGATAATGTGAGGCCGTTAAACTTAAATTAGGGTTTGATTTCTTCATATTAAGAGAAAAATATCAAAAGAAAAGATTGAATTTCAAAATTCGCAAATCAATTTCAATGTTTTCGAAAACTTTTTTGCAAAGATCTTAGAGTTCTGTCATGAGAATCTCTACCTTTATCGCTCTCCTTTTCTTTACTTTTTTTTTTTTCTTTTACTCTAGAGAAATCAAACATTGGTTTGAGTTTAGCTAACATAGTTGAAAAGACTAAATCGCTCATGCCACATTAGCAATTAACGACTCTTTTAACCTATTTGAAGAATTAAAGTAAAGTGAGAGATTGAGGAAGGATGCGTGTGTTAAAGTGAGACAATATAAAGTGTAGAGGTAAAGTAGGACACGGAGAAATTATGCATGTGATAAATTGAGTCAACATAGAATGTAGGACTAAAGTGAGATTTGGTGAAGAGTACAGAGTCATAGCTAATAGTAAGTTCTTTTTCTTTGTCTTTGCCAATCAAGGTGTAATCCAAGTTAATTACGTATTCCTTAATTTAGAATATTCTTCGGACCCTTTCTGTATCATTGTTACTTTAACTAAACATGGGCTACCCAAAATAAAAAGAAAAAAAATACAGAAAATTGGAAAATGATGTAGCACCAATTAAATTTGTGTTTTAATCAAATTGAAATTGGATTAATAATTGTAATAAAAATTTGTACGATGTAGAATGTTCTACATCATTTGTTGGACAAAGTTGGTGTCTCTAGCATTACTTAAATTGAAATGGTTATCTAGCAAGCCTTCAAATCTTCCGTACCAGAAGATTACCCACGTATAAGAATTTGACACATGGCACCTAATAAAAACTCATTTGACTCCAAAGTGTAGAGCTCTTTTCACAGATAATACATAGGCACTCACCAATAAGTATTTTATATGTACCTTATATGCGTCTAGTAAGTACCTTAAACCGTGTTATACCTCGGTTGACTTGGTCCGTGTGTTTTCAATTTAACCGATTTAGTCTTCGTGCCTCACTCACTTATTTAATTTAGTACTTTCCATCTAGTTATTGTTAAGTTTTTTATAAATATGTTTCGGATTGATTAACAAATAAGAATAAAAGATAAGAAAATAAAAAGAATTCAAAAGTAAAAGGAGAATTTGAAACCCCCAGCACCACCACCGTCGAACACACCCAAGGCAATACCCTAATCACCGTGACTTATCATAGCAACCACCCACACTCCCTCTCGTAGTTCTTCACCCAACAACTCCCAAGACGATGTCGATCACCCTCCCCCATCCGTGCCATCTTCATAGCATCAATCTGCACCACTTCCCTGATCTCCCTTCCCCCGTACCCTCATGGGTATGATAATTTTTGGATTGTTTCATATTTGAACTTTTATTTATTTTTGACAAAAACCTTATTTTTGGCGGAATGGATTGCATTGGCTAACGGTGTAAAACACAAAGGCTAAATCGGCTAAAATCAAAATATGGGGATTAATTGACTAAAAGGTTAAAAAACAAGGACATTTTTTACATTTAAGCCTTTAAAAAATAATAGACATGTTATTTAATTTTTCTTGGACTTTAAAAACAAGTAAAACGTGATACGTGATATCTTTTTATTGAACCAAATAAAAAAAAAATGAGTATACGAGTGGGTAAGTAAGTATTATCCTCTCTACAGATTTTTTTTTCTCAATTTTCTATGTATATCTTCCTTCTCCAAAACCCTCCTTATATAGTGGTTGGGCAGAGAATAAAAAGACCAATATGTCCGATGTGGAATTTTATTATAGACTAATCCCAATTCGAAATGACACACAAATGAGGCCCTTTATTCTCATTTCTCACAGATATCTTCATAGCTCTACTATATATTAAGTGTTTTTGGAGACCTATAGCTCAAAATACCTCTCTTTCATTGACAAAATCATGTTCATTTGCTATAGATAGAGGCATGAACTACTGACTTTGTTGTATTACATCAGTATTCACTTTCGTCAACATTTCCTTCTGCACCTTATCTTCAGCTAGCTGCAGCTCCCACCTCCGTTGGTTATGGCACCGCCGTATAAGCTCTGTCGCCGTTGCTAGCTAGACCTATGCCACGACTGGGGAAAGCAACATGCTGTTTTTCTTAAGGACTCTTTGGAACTAAACTTTATCTAAAGCTTTCTAACCACCATACCTAAGAATCTAAATAAACTCATGCAAATAGTCATAAGGACTTTAGAATGAGAGAAACTGCTTAACTGGAACCAACTTTCGAAGTAAACAAAACCCTTTTTTACTGATTTATTTTGTATATATACCATCAACATAACGTGCGGAATCAATGAAAAATGGGAATACTAAAGCACTAGTACCACTTTTATTAGAAACCAGAGAGTTGTGGTCAGAACAAGAAGACGAGCTCCTATATCTTTTTCTGTGTGTTTTCAGGGGATGATGCCGCATCAGCGCCAATACAATTATTAAGCCCATACCAAACACCTTGTGGGATATACATCGAGTTGAAAAAAAATGTGACAGATTTAGCATCAACGAAAATTGTCGCTGTATCTACTTTCCACCCATCGTATCCCGTCCTGTAGAATAACATACAACAAGGGTACGTGCATGGCCCGAAAATATGACCAAATGTATCCATACGACACCGTCGGAATCTGCCTTTTTGTGGATCATCAATTCTACCTGAATACACCTGATCATCATCAGGAAATAATGTTAAAAAGACAATTATACAAGTTGTAAATATCACACTCATGTGACACTGCAGATGATGTTATGTTGGCAGGCATCAATCTAGACGACATTTTTAGATTCACGCTATGCAAAGTTACAAACATGTATAAGTCTGTCACGCAATATATTATTTCTGACATAAAGCTAGACTATATGTATTGTATAGATATATGAGTTTGTATCTGTATAATGTAATTTGGGAGATAAGTACCTTATTCAAAGTATCACCAAACGTGATATTAATCTGATTTAGTGTGTAATGGGCCGAAGTACAGCTAGTCTTTATCTTCACCACGTAAGAACAGTTACCTACATTCTGGAAAAACCCATATCTATTAATTTTATTAATACATCAGGATATATAGTAAAAAATTATTACGCACAATTTTCAGAAAAAGAACATATGTATTAATTTAAACAAGTAATATTTTCTCTATTTATTTTCATATATTCATTAGTAATTTACAGAACTTTGTTGATTAACTATTTATCGAGGAATTTTCTCATACCTGAGTGGATGGGAGGAGTTGGGGTTGTACATTAATGGTTGAAGTGGCTTGCATGAAGGTGAAGATAAGCACTAAAGTCACTGCTGCCTTCATTGTTATTGACATAACCTTCAACTTAATTATTTCAATAAAAAATATAGTCTGAATAAGAGAGAGGGGAGATATCATTATATAGGGTATACGAATGCTACCGTCGGTCGTTCATGTGCAAGTCTTTTTCACTTGCTTAACTAAGGGTGGATTACAGTCAGAAACTTTATCTCTATGGTTGTGATATTTGATGTTGACATTAGGTTAAGTGTGTACACCATTATCTCTTTGTCATGTTGTCAAGAAATTCTATTACTAGGTATGAAAAGCCCTGCGAACAGTCATTTCTAGAATTTATTGTAGATACCCTCCATTTTTAAGAGGTCTATATTTTTATATTCTTTGTTTTTATCTTTTGTTTTGGAAAGTGATAGATTGTCTTGATGAGATAGGACATTCCTCTTTAACTCATCGTGTTCCAAGTTCAAACTATCTTTCTTCTTATATTTAGTTGAGTTTAGAAAAGATTATATCTAGCATTTGTAAAAAATAACAATAATCTATCTTTTTATTTTCTTAAAACAGTGGTATTATATTGTTTTTTTTCTTCTTTTTAAATTACAAAAGGGGGATTCCAACTCGAATGCATAGAAGAGCACATTCAGTCTAACCAATGTTGTAGTGCACATATTTGCATCCTTCACTTTAATCTTTAATACCGTCTTGCCATGCTCTGTTCTTTCCGCCCATTGTCTCCAACCCTATAAAGATGCACATAACATGCATGTCCCGGACGTGCAATTTAGTATGTTACATTGTAAACAAAAATACTTTTATTTAATGTGTAATTCAGATTCAAAGTCTTTAACATGAGTACTATTTGAAGGGAAGTAATTATAAGTACCTTAATTATGGCCGTTAGCATCACCAAATTTTTAATTCCGATCTGATCTCGAGTATATATGAAGGTGAAGTACAGTCTTTATTTACATAACGTACAAATTTACATTCTACAAGAGCCATACTTATTAATGTTCTTGCGTAAGATATAGCATACTATTATGTATAAACCAAAGCAATTTTGTCTGTCTAGTATTTTCTAGTTAATTATTTTCATATGTACAATTGCAATTTAACAAACATAGAACTTTACGATCATCAAATAATGAATGCAATGCAAGCTTATTTTTGACACAAGTGATATGGAGGAGGGAGAAAATCGAACTTTGAACGTACACAGGTGAACACTCTTAACAGATGGACCTGGGTGTTTGTTGAAACTTGAAGGAGGTGAGAGGCTGGGGGTGGGGTTGGTGTTGTAGCTGTGGACTGGTTCAAGTTGCTTGGATGAAAGCCAAATGGAGGAATGCTAATTAAAGTCACCCGAGCCTTCATTGCTATGCCATAACAAGTTTTCAATAGACTATAGTTTTGAGGAGGAGAGAAAGGGACAACTGAAGACAAATATGTGGGATATTATATGTATAGAGATGCATTGCTTACCATGACAAGCATAAATTAATTTGGGAAAATGATTTTCTCGCACCTTTTCTTTTTTGATATATATCTGCTTATTTTTTTTTCATTAATTTTCTTTTAACTGCTGTAATATGAAAGCCAAAAATAAATAAATGTGCTTAAGAGGAAATACGTGATATGTGAAAATTACTTTTTCTGAATTAGGAAGAGGTCAGGCAAAGAAAAATATATCGGTCTCTATAATTGTGGTATCTGGTTATGAGATTAGGTGTACCATTATCTCTTTATCTCATGTTGTTAACAATTACTAAATATGAAAACCACCACAAATTCAGTCAATTTCAGAATACATTTTAGGAACCCATCACGCTTAAAAGGTATGTTTTGTATTCGTATTTGTACGCTTTTACTTTAACCTTTAGTACCCCTTGGAGGATGAGGATCTTCTCCGGATCCTTTTTGTGGGAATCCTAGAGATTTTCACATCCTAACCGTTCATCATACATCGTATGATTATTATTTTTTAATTACTATTTGTGTTTAATTTTAAATAATAAAATTCAAATGATTTATGACTGTAAGATGTACAATAAATGGTTAAGATGTGAGGATCCCTATAATTTGGATCCGGATGGGATCCAAATCCCCGCTGAGAATCGAATAGGATTAATGTCATTAGTAATAAGTGCATTCTATCTTATTATTTTACATCATTTTCACCCCAGATTTTGTTAAATAATTGGTTTTAAAAGAGCTTTATTTTATTTTATTTTTAATTTCAGCTAATATGTACAAGGAAGCCTTTAATGATGAAATTTTTTTTTGGAGGCTTTTTGACGCAAGGCCAATTAGAGAACAGAACTAAGGGTCAGTTTTTGGGATTGATGTTTTTTTCTTCTAAAACCGCTTATGTTGCGCTTAAAGAATAACTAGTTGTAAAATAAAAGGGTTGAGCATTTGATAAACTATATTTTCAAAACTGTTGTGAGTATAAAAAAGCATAAAAGTGTTTGAAAAATTTCAATGTAGAAGTGATTGTATGACAAAAATACACGTAGTAATGGGCGTGATGACAACAACAACAGTGGCAGGGTGGTGGCAGTGATGGCAGCGCCTGGGTGGGTGGGTTATGGTGGTACCAATAATAAGGTGTGGTGGTTGGGGTGTAGAGGCAACAGTGGTTGCAGTGGTGATGGTGGCAATTGCATTGTTGTTGGCGATGGCAAAGACAGTGGGATAATGTTGGTGGTTGCAATCATAGGTGCTGGCGTCGACAGTGGTGGCGATGGCGATGGCAATGGTGGCGGTAATAGCAGTGGTGGTAATTGTGGAGCCGTTGATGGTGATGGTATGGAAACAATAATTGTAAGAGTATGATGGTGATGCCAATAGTGGAGAAGCTGATGCAAAACCGGCTGCCATGGAGATTGACGGAGCCCAACTATCTGCTGACTTTGATCCTCTCCGATTTGCCTGAAGGTATTGTCTTGTTTTTCCTTCTTTTACTCTTTTTAAATGTATGTTATTTGGTTAGAGACATTCCTCCTTTCAAATAATTTCATTGTTTGGTTGCTGACAAAACCAAAAAGATTACAAAATACAATTTCATTCACTTCACAAGCAGATTGTGGTTGCTACTCTCACTCCCCGTTTATCTCCTTGATTATTTGGTTGCTAAAATTATAACAATTATGAAGGGTTGGGTTTGTCAAGCTGTTATATTTTGTCATTGTTTGCAGTTACCAGCTAGAAGCAATGGAAGCAGCAATTAAGAAGAACTCCATCGTGTTCTTGGAGACTGCCTCTGAAGAGACTCTGATTGGCATCATGCTTCTCCGTACCTACACTTGCTCCACAAGCCTTCTCCTTTCATTGCCGTCCTCTTGGTTCCTCAAGTTGTCTTGGTCAAACAATTATGCAGCTACTCACTCACTCTATATAACTAGTTTTTCCACTTGCATATAGCAACTCTATAAGATTCTTGCCGTGTCTTCTAATACTAGCAAGCTGATGCATGTACAAACTCAAATTTGTCTTTTTTGAATGTTGCTTTTAAAAGCTGCTGTCTGAAGGTAGTTGTTTTAAAACTAAGCGGGATGTTTTGTTTTTACCAAACATCTTTTTATTGCTTAACTTTGAAGTAGTAGTTTTTGGTGTAAAGAAAAACCCAAATGGGACCTAAGAGGCTAGAATCATTGTGTCGAAATTTCAAAATTTTCTACAGAGCCAAATTACTCCAATTTTGCAAGACAATTCCGCGAAGTTGCATTCCTGTCAGAACATAGTAACTGTTGGGGGAGTATGAGGATTTAAAGGCTTTCCAAAAAATTTAAGTGACATGTCATTTAAATAATGAGTTTAATGATCGATTACTAAGCACTTTTGTTCTATACAATTTGCCTTCTTTGTGATCAATGCATGACTTTCTCAGGGATTTAATTTTTTTTTTTTTTTTTTTTTTTGGTAAGAAAAAGTTTTGAAGGAGGGAAGGCTATCTCATTCCAAGGTCAGGGCATATACCACAAGCCTCTTTGTGGAATTATAGAGGGGGTCTTAACCTCTTTATTGGTTTTTACAAATCAGTCGCCAAGAGAGATTATCGATAGTGAGACTCGAACCTAGAACCTAAGCCTTGTGCTAGTAAAGAGAACAATCTTTACCAACTCCTCGTTCGCTTAAACTATACATAGACGGATTTAAATTTAATTGCAAAGACAGAACCCAATGCCCTAGTCAACTTGGCAACACTCATGTCCGGAAGTTTTTTTTTTTTTTTTTTTTTTTTTCTTTAACTTTGCTATTATAAAATTGTAGAGAGAAAAAACTCTTATTATTAACATTTGTATAGTAAAATTTGAATTTTATGCTTACCAATCTGATCTTAAACAGTGAAGACCAGTGACCTCTTAGCGCGGTAGTTTTATCTGTTATTCTTGATTCTAGCTGTCTAATGATCCCTAACCCATTCACAGCTCGGGGCTACATGGAGTTCAGTGGAGGGCATACTTATATCGCAAATCGTCCTAAAGAACCACCGTGTCTTCTCCGGCAAAAAATTTACCACGGCGACACACACACTACACATTGTTTTGGGAAGACAGTATAAATATTACAAGGTATTGACAAGAATAATCTTAAGAGTATAAAAAATATAATCTCATGGAGTGTAGAAAAATATTACCTGTTCTCATATTATCTAATCCAAGTGAGGTTTGAAAACATACTGGTTATTGCAAAGCCTGAAAATACACCGGAGATGAATTCAACATTGCTTTCGGTTCAACATTCAGTAGGAAGCTTGATTCAGAACTCAGTTGGAGGCTTCAACCTTATCAGTCTCTTGATTCTATCCTTTTCTGTATTTTCCAGCAATCCCTTCAAAGTACAGGAAAACAGATGTCAAAGAAGATAAAATTCATCATTATAAAGAAAAAGGCTGAGCAGCAACATAGAACTGTTGTGCAATATGGAGTCCAGTAAATGTGAGACGAAACGATGGATGAAAGCAAGTCTTCCTATCAACCCGAATAATAAAAGGAAATGTGAGGTTTGATTGTGATGTTATTATGATGAGAATTTTTCGCTCTAATTGTTTAAAAAGTTATCCAGCAGCTCACCTTCCAAACAATTTCATCCAGACACAAGCAAATTCTTCCGTACTTATCCAGGAAAAGGCGCTCGGTTGGAGGCTTTCCGCATACATCCTTCACAGCCGATGTTATAACAAAGATGACTTCCGACACTAGCAAGAAACCATCCAGGGTTAACAAAGCAATACCAGTAATAAAATCAAGCACATCATCTCTCCCATTTAAAAGCAATTGACAAAATATGGCGAAACCACAGCAAGCACCACATCAGAGTCTAAAAAAGTTATCATTTTGCATTTTTTGACAATAGGTGATGGCATCAAATTTCCACCGAAAAACAAGTAAAACAATTGCTACCTTTGGCCAATTGCACCAAGCAGTACATCAGATTCGGTCCTACTAAAACATCTTGGGGGAAATATATAGCACTCTTTTTTCGCTTGTTTCTTCTAAGCAAAGTCATCAACCTTCCCTAATACTGAACTGACCCACTGTAATAGGTGAGAGCCTTGTACATGGTTGATCACATGAAACTACTTTGGAAGGCATGTAAAAGTTACTCATCTAAAATGGAAAAGCCCATATTTGCAACTAACTAAACTACCGATGAAAAGGTATTAATGAGGTGTGAAAAACAACTGGTCCAGAACTTTAATCCCAACAACAGTGAAGTCCAACTTTGGATTTTCATTGATTAATTTCATCCTGTCGTTTTTACAAACCAGCATCATATTATTGAATGGAGCACTGAATACTTACAAGCTAGTTCATCATACTCATCTTTGCCCACGACATAGATGCTGACATCTCCAAGCACAGTGTAAACAATGTAAACTGACCTGATAAACACATGAACACATGTCAAATCATGTAAAATGGTACCAGATTCTGAGTCACGTTTCTATTATTAATATAAATACAGATGACAATGGAGTTCTTTGCAGAATACTTAATGCCAAAAAGGGAATCCCTTCACAAACCAATTTTCAAGCTCTAGCTTATAAATTTTACAACTTTCATCACATTCCAGCATTATATTCTCACTGGGGCAAAAATCAGGCTCCAGCTCAGTTCTGATTACACGATATGCCATTACACTAGTCATCTAATACTAAGGCAATCTAAACGTAGAGATTATGCATTATATCTGCACAACAACAATAGAAACTATTATACATACTTGTGGCAAGCAACAAGGAGCTCTTCATTCTTCACGCCCCTAAGATTATCCGCCCCAAGTTTGACTAGGAAAGATCGCCAATGCAGCCTTTCCTCAGCAGGAACTCCATTGAAACTTCAATAAGACATAAAACCAATGAGTCAATGCTTCACGAAGACAGCAAACCCAAGCACAAAAAGACATCAAAGCAATCAACTCAAAACTGATCTACCATCAGTCCTTTTCGATATACGCCATATAGATTGCAATTGCATACACACTATACAGCAACGCACAACGATGAGGTTTCTATAGTAAATGCAAAATCGTCTCTATACCATGTCTACACACAAAACATGATTTGTTGTATATTATTGCCCACCCTGTTCACATCTTGATCTGACAAGATCTCGTAAGATAGAAACAAGAAGGGTACCATTTAAAATTCGGCGTTTCCCCGTAAACCCATATAATACAAATAAGCAACCATCCCAGCAAATCAAAGTCCACCCGATTTAACCCAGCAAACATACAAAGAAAACAACATATTACACAGATATGAAAAACCCAGCACCACAATTCAGATCCAATCCATAATATTTCCAAGCTAGATTAACCAAACCCACAAAAGGGTATAACATAATCAACAATTGTAAGCCAAAAACGCAAAGCAATTCAAAAACATGAGGATATATGAAAGGACGGCGGAGATCTGCGCTTACCGTTCAACTAGGATGTTGCCTTCCGAGTTGGCGAACAACACTGCCAGTATCATAGCTCGCTCGCTGAGTTGAGTTGTAAAAAGGTTGGATCGGGGAGGAACACCAACAATTACTGATGCGATGAACTTGTTTACAAAAAATGTCAAATTTTCTATACGAAATTGGAATTTTCACTGCTTGTGGTCACCTCAGGCTGCGGTGGGAGCTGGTATGGTTGCTTTTGGGTAGAAAGATCTGCAGACTTCAGAGAAGAAGCAAAGGCCACCCCTTTTGGGCTTTGTTTGATTATCTGGGCTGACTTCATTTGGGTCAGAGCAGATTTCTGTGATTTTATGGGTTGATTTTATGATTTTGTGGGCTTAGATGGGTTTTTTTCTACAGATTTCTATGATTTTATGGGTTGATTATGATTTTGTGGGCCTAGATGGGTTTATTTCTATGATTTTGTCGGCTTACATTTTGTTATTGTAGAGAGAGAGAGAGAGAGAGTATTCACACGGGTAAAAGTACATATTTACGGGGATGCAATCACTATTCATATGTTAGAATACGAGCATGAAAATGTATGTAATAATCAACTATTTTGATTCAAATTAGTGCATAGAAGATATAGGACTGAAACACAGTTTTTATCCTAATTTCGTACTTTATTGTTGAACGAGGATTACTTGTCAGTGTTCAACTTGGATTCCAACAAAAGAGACGAGTAGATTGAACGTGTATGTATAGTAAGCATTTGATCCTAAAAAAATAGAATCAAGGGCCTATCGTTGATTTGAGCATTAAAGGTTTTGTTAGAGAAGAGAAGATTTCTCGTATAAGATTGATGGTTTCACCATCTTCTATCTCTAATCTCTATATGGAAGGTGTATTATTTTCCTTGGTAATTATTCGTTTTGTATCCATCCCTACCCCTAGCCCTAGCAGTACACTCCATCAATTGGTTAAATTTCCATTGTTGTTGCGCAAGAACACCAGCATTATTATTTTAATTAATACGAGGCCTGCACAACCGTCATGATAGGCCGCACAACAATAATGGGAAATTTGATTAAATATAAGGAAAACTAATGAAAATAATTTGAAAACTTTGAATTTTAACGATAAGGACAAAATAAAAGGTAAAGTGAATAGTACCAGAATTGACTTTTTAGCGTAAAAATGGTTTTTCGTTAAAGTAAATAGTATTGAGAGCTTTTCGTTAAAATTCCCTTAAATATAACTACATGTGCAACAGTGAAGGATCCTGCGCAAATAATTCATGCTGCAACTCCACCTAAAAATGGTTTCGAAAAAGGTCTTAGAATCAATATTCTGTAAATTTGTAATTTGAGCTTCTATTAGGGTTGAGTTCGAGGCCAACTGGTTGGGTTCTAGTTGATCCATGTCGAGTTTCAGATCGACGTGTTGGAGCTCATAAGTTATAACACTACGTAGTCAAAATGGGTAAACTTAATATTGATCAATCTACAATATAGTATCATTATATTCCCCATATTAGGAAAATATGTATTTCGATCCATAAATAATATACTACGCTTCACATTTCTCTGTACTTAACCTCCACTCTTTGTTTAGAGTGCAACAAAGTTTTTCATAGGTCTTTGGGATTTTGTGTTGTCAAAGTTTGATGAGCAGTTGGAGAGTATAATCATGTACTAATCCACATCTAGATATTGAGAACATGAATCTCACATCAGGAAGAGAATAAATTTTGTATATGTTTATAAAGAGTTAGACTACTCCTCATATATTAATTAACGTCCTTCGTTAGGGTCATTCGAATCAAGGGATTCTCCATTTAGAATCTAATAGATATATTAATACATAATCATAAGATTTGAATAATAAGAAAATGATGAAAACAAAGGATCAATCTATAGCCATTTCATATATACGTTCAATCCAATGCATCTAGTGTTCAAAAGGTTTCAAAAGATGCTATGCTCTAGTCGAGCGGTGCGCAGGTGCATCTAGGCGAGGCCTAGGTGGTTTTATTTTATTTTATTTATTATATAACAAATAAATAAATGTCTACTTATATTGTATTAAGATACTAAAATGACATATAAATTATAAAGTACTAAAACATATAAAAACATTAGAAACAAACATATAATGAGTGTTTATCCAAGTATCCAATTGATTGAAAAAATAAAATGCAAAATAAAAGTTAATTTTCTGTCTATATGAGAGTCGCAACCTAGGTAGGCTAAGCGAGCACTTAGGTAGGCGCCTAGGTAGGTCTAGGTGACCTTTCTTATTTTTTTAAGCGTTTAGAGATTAATCATGGTGGTGGAACCGCCTAGTGCCTCCGTGGGGCCTTGGTGGAGATATTTAGAATAGTAGGTATTAATTTAGTAAAACCTCTGTGTAGTGATACTTTATATAAGAATAACCTCCATGCAGTCATAAAAAGTTTTGATCCCAACTTGGGCCAATTATATATAAGAATATACTTTACATTGTAATAAGTTATTTTTTTAGTTGCATAGTAAAAAACTTGCCTAATAATAATTGTCAATATGATCTTTAACAAAACTCTTTTACATATCTTTCTAATCCAAGGTTCTAAAAAAACTAGGTGCTAGTTGGGCTGCGGGCTGGGGCCTACTTACACTCTAAAAATAAAAGTATACTTGTATTGAGAATTTGGGAAAGTTAAAATTTAAAACTTAAGTCATATTGACATCCTCACTAACAAATGCAGCAAAAAATAAGAAAAATCAAAAACCAAATTTGAAAAGTCACTAATTAAATAGGTTTTTTCAGAAAACCCTTTTACTTAATCAAAAAAATTAAAAATAATAGAACCGCCTAGCCCTCCTAGCCACCACCTAGCCCGCCCTTTGCCTGATTTTTCTCCACGTTTCGGCCTAAATCGCGTCGGTCCTCCACCGCCTAGAGCCTAGAGGCCGCCTAGGCTGATTTTTAGAATATTGTTCTAATCACTACATACATGCACTAATATTTGAGACTAGGTGTTTCGTGTTTCCTAGTGTCTTAGTAATTGACACTGTTCTAAAAATCCCTACCTAGCGCCGCCTAGGAGCTAGGCGGTTGACCACCGCCCAAATTAATGCCTAAACATTTGAAAATTAAGAAAGGGCGCCTAGACTTGATAAGGTGCCCGCCTAAGCACCCGCGGCACTAGGCGGTTGGTCACCGCCTCGATTAATGCCTAGGCATTTAAAAATTAAGAAAGGGCGCCTACACCTGCTGAGGTGCCCGCCTAGGCACCCGTCTAAGTTGCAACTCACTTAGATAGAAAATAGATAACCTTCATTTTGCATTTTATTTTTTTCAATAAATTGTAAAAGACTTGTTGAATACTTAAATGAATACACATTATATGCATATTCCCCATGTTTTCATTATGTTCCAATACTTCCTAATATATATGTCATTCTATTTTGTAATTTATAATGAAATTATATATATTTTAAGTATAAAAAGACACTTATTAACACGAAATATAATAAATTTACTTAAATCCACCTAGTCAGCTTAGGCGCTAGGCCCCAACTCGCCGCCCGACTAGCACCTAACGTCCTTTAGAACCTTGGTAATTGACATATTCACTATTAATGTAGTGCCTTGTATCTATAGACCTTTAATTAAGAATAATAAATAAGTCAATTTTTTATTTTATGTAACTGCACCTCTATTTAGTAAAATTCGTTTAGTCCCAACGTTATTAGTTATTACTATACATAGGGAGGGTTTACTGTACCTACAATTTTTATTTTTTATTTTTTTATTTTTAAGCAAACAGTATTATCTACACTAGGAGGTTAGGGGAGTGTGCTAAGCCTCACAATGATTTAGTAATAATGTGGTTCAAATTCACCTTTGGCAAGAATCGAACCTAAGATCTCTCATTTACCAGTGAAGAAGAATACTACTTGATCATAATATTAAGTGGCTATTGTATATATATAATTTAACTTTGTCATCAAGACCTTTTTTTCTTTCAAATTTGTCCGTCTAAGTGGAGGCCTGGTCTTATCTCCAAGCAAGAACTTTGTGGATGTGGATATATGGAGCTATATAGTTAGGCCTTTTGCCATTTATGGCTAGCAGTTCATTTAAATTTTGTGGTTAGAACTTTCAAAAATGGAATGATCCAATTTTACATATCGAAGGGAACTCTTTTTAATAGACTTACCCTTCGCTAAAGGGCAAACTAAAACACAACAAAGGCCAACTTCTTATTACAGAAACAAAATACCTAAACTTTTAACAAACTCAAACGGCTTCCACACTGTAATGCTAAAGCTATTTAATTATGTGTCACTGTACAGATGAAAGATCGACGAACAAAACAACCTAGCTGGCTAGGGTTTGGCTGTTCCTAGCTTAATTGGCTCATGATTTTCCTGTTAAACATGCAAATGGCTATGCCTATAGAGCCTAGTAGATCACCAGCACATGGGATTTGATACTCCAAAAATCAGAAAATTCCACTGAAATGCTGAAAGCTCCAAAGATATATATCCTCATTGCGTGCCAACACGATTTAGTCTTCATTAATTACTTAAGTTTTTACGAGAATCTACGTGCAGGACTCACAGGAGCCTTTAGAAATATGACAAAAGCATAAGTTTTGGGAGGATTAATCAATGTAATACGTCGACGTAAAATTGTTCGCCCTAATACCATGTTAAAATCATATTAGTACTCGACATATAAATAAATGGAAATAGACACAAATGGACTTGGGACTTCGAAATAAGGTGGACGAAGCCTTTAAACTAAAGAAAATAAAGGAGGCGAGAAATGGCAGGACGGGTTCTTATGAATTAGGTCATTGCATCTCTTAAGAATTAGGTCGGCAACAGAAAATTCAAGCAACCACTTGATGAAAGAGAAATGTTATCCACACTTGATTTTTTATAATGCACTCATTTGTAAATGATTGAAGAGTGCGCGATGATGAACTAAAAAATGCGAGTAATTTTGTATATTACTAACCGTTCATTATGGGTCCACACACGTACCAAGTGACTTTTTCTATCTACTTTTGTCAATACTTTTTCTATATTTGTACTCTTCTGTTTTTTTTTGGGCTAAGAGTAGCAAGTGCAATTTCTTAGGACTCATTACTCATTGGTTACAGACTCATTAAGGACACAGTCCATCAACCATGGAAGTCCAACATCCATCCAAAAAGAAAGATTCGAATTCCCAGCATTAGGCTATATATTGCGGTGCAGGATTTTCTCTCATTCAAATTCCATCTTCTCTCAGCCCCTCCTCTCCCCTTCCTTCCCCTTTCACTTTCTTTTGTATTTCTCTTTTTATAAAGAAGTCAACATTATAAAATATTGATGTATAGGAAGGAGAGATGAGCGAAATTTAGAGGGGAGAAAACTTACTTCATATATCGCTATCCGATTAGCAACCACATTCACATCAATGATCTAATTGTCCAGAACAATACGATGAACTACATTAGCATACGTCCCCTCTATATCAAAACATTATGCTAGATTAAAAAAATTAATTCAGAATCATCTCCGTAATTATTGCATGTATTATAGGAATGTAATTTTCCAATTGTAATTAATGTAGGATTCCTACCTAAATTGGAATTTGTATAACCCTCTATATAGATTGTAATATTTACACACATCAATACATGGGAGTCATATTTCTACATGGTAAGCACATCCATCAGCTCAAGTATGCACATAATCTCTTACAGAAATTTGGCATGCTCTCTTGCAAGCCTGCCTCTACTCTTCTTTGCTTGAAAGTTGTCTTACTGCTTCTGATGGCTCATTACTAGCATATCCCATGCTGATTGGACGGGTTGTCTGGACACTCGCCGCTTTACCATTGGCTACCTTGTTAATCGTGCACTAATCTCATCTCCTGGTACTCCAAAAAGCAGTCAACAGTCGCCTACTCTAGTGCCAAATCTGAATACCGATCTCTTACTCATGCTTGTGTTGAAACTACATGGCTTTGCTTTCCTCTTCGAGAGCTTGATGTTAGCTTATCTTTTCCAGTGTTACTTCATTGTGACAATCTCAGTGCCACTTATCTTGCTGCCAATCCCGTTCATCAGTGCCACTTATATATTTTTGGGCTTATACAAGAACAAGTTAATTATTCAATTTTTTGCTGAACAGCGAGAGGGAGAACTTAAAAGTGAAAACCACAATCATTTAATCAATTTTGGTTATCATACATATCTCATCGCAAGCCCTAATTTTAACAAATATATTGTGACTAGTATTACCTCTCATGTGTGTTCCTTATTTCGTATACCAACCAAAGAGTTTCTAGAGTGACACATTTTATAGGGGTTACAAATATATGGAGATAGATGGAGACGTATACCTAATATATTTTCTCCTCCTTATGAGGTCACAGACTCACAGTCACACAAAGAAACAAACCCAACAAATACAATCCCCATTGACAAGACTAAGCACATGGACATCCCTCGCACACTTTGGTGTGTTGATCAACCTCCATGTGATGATTGATAGGGATTATACCAACTTAAGTGGCAAATTTAGTCAATTTCTATTCAGAAGTTCCTCTATCATCTGCAATGCAACCTTTTCCTCCTCATCCATCATCCTATCATCAACATCCCCACCTTCCTGCCCTCCTGCCATTTCCTCAGTGTCCAAAGCACAAGAGGTACTACTACTAATTTCTGACTGGGGTGCTTGCAAACGACTCTTCTGGTCCAGCTCAACCATCATCAGCCAGTTTGAATCCGACCGGGGTCCAGCACCCTTTTGCCAGACCCCGATGAGGGAATTCTCTGTGTCCAGCCTCAGGCAAGTGAGGGAAGGAGACGGGGACTTGCAGCACTTGCGAAGCTTGGCACTGAGGATTGCCGAAAGTGTTGTGGAAGAGGTGGAAGAGTTGTTGTTGCTGTTGCCAGAGTTGTTGTTAAGATCGTTAGCTGCAGCCATTTCATTTGTGACGACTGGAAAGTTTGTTTTGGCATTTCTCCCACTCATCAAAATTGCTGCCTCATCATACGCTCTTGCTGCTTCTTCAGCTGTCTCATATGTCCCAAGCCATACCCTTCTTTTCCTGCATTAAAACAATATTAGAACGTTAGGAGTGATACCATGTACTATTTAAAGATCAAATCAATTAACTGACATTTCTTTCACATTTCCTAAGTAGTAGCTAACAAAGTTAGTCATGCATACTAAATCTGTAATACCATGCACTAAACAAGTCCTAATTAAGATTTAACACCACCATGCTATAATGGGACATTTTTTATATTTGAAGAAAACAAAGAATCAATAACTAGAGCAGTATATATAATTTCATATGCAAGTTGTATAATCAAAGTATGATTAGTATTAGAGCAGCAACATAAAATTTTCTAACTAGTACTTGAAACTGATGCAGTAAATATATTAGTGTGCGAGTGTGTGTTAAACATTGTGGAGGATATGTTATTGTGACCCAAAAATGGATGTATGTGGTGGATAGTTTGTTGAGAATACAATAGTGGAATTAATAGATGGCAAAGATGAATAGAAGAGGGTTGGTAGGAGAAGAGAAGAGGGAGGAACAGATCATACAGTAATGGATGACGAATCTCAGAAACCCAGGAGCCCCAGTGGCGTTGCCTGACCCCTCTGAACTTCTTTGATTGTACCATATTTGCTGTCAGAGAGGGAGAGAGAGAGAGAGAAGGAGAAGTATGTGGTAGTGTCAAAGAATGTGGGAGTTGTGCTTGTAATATGAAATATAACTGATCCATATAGGACAGCTAGACAGTAACATCTACTTTTCAATTCTTCCCTTTCTTTTTTTCTTTATCTTAAAAGCTAGCTGTAACATCTAACTTAAGGTACTTTGCAAATGTGGGCAGTCAAATTGGTTAGAATACATGTGCTTTCTCTCTTGTATATGAGTTTAACTTCCTTTTTGTGATTTAGATTAGTTTAAAGTAGAATATTGTCTGTTTTTTCTTGTTTCTTTTTCTAAAGTAGCTAGATGTAACATCTACCTTAAATTACTTTGCAGACGTGAACGTAATTACATTGACTAAACTAGATGTGCTCCCTCTTATGCACTCAAGTTCGAAGCCCACTTCTCGTGGTTTAGATTAGTTTAAAGTGATTTTCTTTTTCTAAAGAAGCAAGTTGTAACATCTACTTAAGGTACTTTGAAGAAATGAATATATCCACATTGACTAAAATGGATGTAGTCCCTTCCCTTCTATATGAATCCAGGTTCGAATCTCGATTCTCATGGTTTACATTAGTTTAAAGTAATATGTCATCCTTTAAAAAAAACTTGAGGTGCCTTGGATCTATATACAATAATGGAGTGCTTTGGTTAGATTAACTTCTAATTATGAAAATATTTATTGATTTAAACAGACTTTTGTACAAATAAACAAAAGAAGGCAATAGTCTTAAGCATTGAACATTTTAGCTTGAAAAAATCTCACCATAGACCCTATTATATTAAACTAGCCTCTGCACAAGAGCTATTGTGTCTCAGCATCCAAAGATGAAAGAGCTAATCCATTTATCTAGAGCCGTTTGATAATAATTTCGTTTTCAGTTTTCAGGCAAGTAGTTAATGACAAAACTGCACTTCAAAACCTTCTTGATATAAAATACCCCCTCAAATTTTATTTCTAAAATAATTCTTTTATATATGTATGGAGCCCTCATATGCATATGCATGGTTTCAACCAAATGACACCACCTCGTGGGAGTATTTAAGATCCTCCAAGTACAAATTCAAAAGGTCTCAAGAGTCAACCCCAGATTACCTTCTTCAACTGGTTTTCTGTAATTCCATAGCACATGCTAACATTGGCACTATTTTTAAGGAGTGAATTCTATAAAGCGAATTTGTTAAGGGCAGTCATGCAAATACACATAGATTCTTGACTATTGATGACATCTTGCTTCTGCATAAATTAAACTTAACGGTAAAACACTACTAATGTTATTCATGCATGGTAGACTGATCGTAACATAGCTCTTTTATATAATTCTCACGTAGTTTTTGCTTTTCGGGAACCCATTTCGACAGCTCATCTCTTAATTACCAATATGGGAAATGAAAGTAAATGTTGATTGCAGATTTGGTTGTTAAATTTCAAAAACCTAAGAATTATGAATTGCAACTTTATTAGGTCCAAGTAGTTTCTGCAGCAAGTTATTTTTTGTTACATAAAGACTGCAGAGCAGGCTGAGCAGCTGTTAGTTCATACATATCTTTGAAAGACACTTTGTACTATATACTAAAGTGGCAATCAATAACTGTCACGAGTTAAATGTAGACCATAAATTGATTTATAACAACTCTATACACTTGGGGGAAAAAGTCGGGCAACTTTTGGATCTATCTTCTGGAAGTTTTTGAACAGGCAAGAAATCCAATTATTTGTGTATTTAAATACTGGTTGATAGTTGCATTGAATGGATAAGTAATTATTCATCTTTCTAATTGCTGTAGCCATAATGGCGATTTAGATGGTTATGGCTGCAGTAAGTGTTAGTGGCAGATTCAGGAATTTTTCCGTCGGGCTAAGAAAATTAGTATAACGTCCAACTTTCCTTGGTCTTTCTGAAACATTTCATCAAGTACTTCTTTTTTTTTTTTTTTTTTTTCGAGGCCGAGAAAATATGACTGGTTGCTTACTTAGTCACTCTAAAACTTTTCATCAAGCAAGAAAAATAGAAAAAAGATAAACCGCTTTGGTGAACAAATTACTGCAGGAAAAGAAGAAAAATCACCGTATGCAATGATATTCATTCAATCAGATCTATCCAAACGCCACTACCTATACTAAGAGTAATATTCCCTTACCAAACTGTTTGTATTTCTTAGATGTCCGCCATCCACTTTTGCTCCTCTATCAGATGATTTATTCTTTGGAAGTTAGGCATTCTTTGAACAACAAATAACTTGATGAATGACTCATATTACAATCTGAAAAACATAATAGATATATATAACCTGTCTTGCAAGAGAACATTACTCCTCGTACCGGTAAATGATAAATCATGTATAAAAAGCTCGCAGGACCAAGCCGCACCTAGGTAGTGGTTGAATGATAACAGCTCAGCTAAGATGAGTAAGGACCCCCCCAAACCCAAAGGGAGGCAGTAGATCGTGTCAAACATTTAAGTGACATTTTGTGCACCCCGCTTAAATCCATTGAACAACTTTCACAGAGCCACCACACTTAAATGTGCTAAAGCTTAATACTCGTTGAGAATGCACATGTGTACCAAGTCAGGCCATGCACCAATGCACCAACTGCAGATTTTACTGGTCCTTGAAACCAAAATAAGAAGCTTGAGTTATGAAGTAGAAGCTGGCACAAAAAATAAAGTCCTTTCTGGGTTGGTTGATGCTGAAAGGTAAAGGATCTTCGACGTTAGGTAAATTAAATTTGCCCATCACCATTGTTAAAGAACTTGCCATACCCAACTTCTTTCAAGTCAAGGAAGCGTAATTAAGTAGATCACATCTCCATGGTACACAAACCGTAATGAGTTTTTCTTCCCCTTAGGCAATTTCACCCCGGCCGGAGTTCAAAAACTAGACAAAAGTAGGGTTTTCAAGTAGATTTTTACTACGTACAGTATGGACAAATAAAAACCCCTACTTTTATCATAAGAATTTGTCGATTTACACCTACTTGGTGGAGAATAGAGTCACACATTGTCGAGATTTAGGGAGTTCCACATGGAAAATATGTATCTAATACCAATTTCAACCAAGTATCATTACTAAAGGCGGAACTAGCAAATGGTTACCTTGAGCTATAGTCCAGGTCCCATTTGTTCAAAATTAAAATATCGCATGTTGTATACATCTTATGATCTTAATGTTCTGTCCTTGATCATTATTAAGAAGGCCTTATACTTAGAACAATTGGACATCATGCTCATATTACTTTAGTCTAAAGAAGGAGGCGAAATTGCACTGTAGAAATGAACAGTGTTTTGGACCACATTTCAGTTTATTTACAAGCTTGCCACTAGGGTGAAGGCGGCTGGGTTAGTTCGTTTTAGGCTGTGTTTGCTGGGCTTACCTCAATTGTTGATGAGCCCAGCCCTTTGGGTGTTCAAATGATGAGAATGCCCATCTAGGGTTAAGATCGGACGATCCGAATTAAAAGTTTGGAGGGTACTTTTGTCATCTTAATTGTCGGGACTGATTGGGATCGATGGTGAGGGGATTGTAGGACAGACAGGAGGCATGCCGCCTCTGAGATAGAGATGGAGAGAGAAGGAGACCGCGAGAACGACGGTCTCGCCTCCATCCTATCCTCCTCTCGCTGCCGTCTCCCTTCTCTCGCCTCCGTCGTCTTACTCCTCCTTTCTCTGTCTCTAGAATCGTTCGATCTATTCGAAGAGGATCGAGAGTTCTGAAATAGTGTTTCGATAGGTAGGGGGTTATGCGTGTGCGGTCGTGCTTGATGATCGTGCAAGCCAGCGATTCTGTTTCTACGACATAGCCTCGACTCTGCTTCCATCTCCATTTTCTCTCCTCGCCTTTTCTCTCAAAAATCACCCACGAGCTCAAAAACCACCAAGCCCTTAGAAATCTCTTCGATTCTCTCTCTCAGAAACTATGAAGCACAACGATCTCTAGCTGAAAAACCGTGAATCTGGTCCCAATTCGAAGGAAATTTTAAGCCCAGAAAAGCCTTGGTTTCCGGGTGAGTTCTCCGGCCGATTTGGAGTAGGTAATTTTGTGATTTGCAGTTTATTTGGGGAAATGATTTACGGATTTGCAGTTCATTTTACCATTTCCAGAATATTCGTAATTTATTTTGGGGGTTTACACTAAAATTGAGGAAGCACATATGAACGCAAAGGCTCGAGGATGTACGACAACTTGGATATGATAGGGTACAAGCTATGACATTTGTGCAAATTTATTTGTTTATTTATTTTTTCCTTTCATTTTAGTGGTTTTTTTACTGTTTAGTTTTTGGGTTTTGTCTAATTTTTGTGCTCTGCTTTATAGATTGTTCTCTTTGGAAGCTTCTTTCCAGTCTTGAGCTTCTTCTTGCCTGGTGCCTTCTCATTGAGTATTGGAGCATTAAAACACAGGTTTGTGTGTTTTGTCAATGTAAGAGGAGAACGACATAAGAACATCTGTCTTTGTATTTATTTTTACTTTTTCTAACCCATCAATTTCTTTTGAGTCAATGAAATAGTCCCAACTTGCAACTTATGTTGTGAAGTATTATTGTCTGAAAAATTAAGTATGTATGTATATGTTATGTGTGTGGTGTTAGTCTCTGTGAGTCATTTATGTATATGTAGACATATGTGTGTGTGTGTGGAATGCAACATATCGGATTTAGGTTATACCGTCCATAGTTTTATTGTCTGTTGTTGTCTGCGCTATACCATTTCTATGCAGGCTCTGAAACTTATTCATGAGCTTTATAAGCACTTTCCATAATTTTAGCTGTCTGTTTTGGGTTCTTTTTCATTAGGTCTGTTTTGGGTTCTTTTTCATTAGGTCATTAGCTATTGATTAATGGAGAAACGAGGACCATGCCACTGATTTTGGGGTCTTTCTTTAATCTTCTGATTTTGGGGTTTTGCAGGGAGTGCTGATGTTTTCTGGGATTTTTTGGTCCTTGCAGGATTTTGGGTCTTTAAAATGGGTACGTGTTATTTTTAACGGTTCGGTTCTCGCGTGTTCCGTTCTTTTTTCCTTAGTGATTCTCATTTTTCAGTGTTGGGTGATGGAAATTTGTAAAAATAGTTGTAATTCTTTTTTGAGAAAGTTGGCATTTTGTTATATTTTCTATTTAATCCCAAATGTAAGACTGTAAAATAATTGAAATGATGGTTTTCTAAAAACTCCTCTTAATTTTTTTTTCTGGGATTTAAAAGCATCTTTTCCCGATTGGTTACAAGGGTTATGTTCTCTTCATTTGGTTCACCTAATTTTGATTATTTATAAGTTTTGTCCTTTTAAGTTTTGTCTTTTAAGTTTTGTCTTCTGTGGTGTAATGAGAGATTTCTGTTGGCCTTTCGGATTTCGGCATGGCAAAGTTCACTTATTTGTCTAATTAGATTGCGTATGCGTTCGATTCTTTATTTAATTGTTCTGTTTGTGTTCGGGTGTGATGGTCTAAATTTTATATGTTTGGAATTATCCACTTAACACCAATTTGTTACATTCAGGTCTCCACCCCACATTTCACAAGTTCAAATTCCATTGAAGTCGATTCTGCAGATTGTGTCTGCAATTAGATCAAAGATCAACCGCTCTTTTGTATTCTGCGGAAGATTGCTTTTGGGAATGATCTGAAGCAGTTCCTCTATATATATTTAATCTCTGTATGTTTATTGCCATGTAGCTCTGTCTTTTCTAATTGATGGTGTTCATGTTACACTGTGATTCATGATGATGATTTAATTGTTTCTCGATTTGTAATTGTTTGTGGATAATGTGGCATATATGAATTGCAATATGTATTTGTATGAAAGGGATGGCATATCATTTTGCTGACTTAATTGTTTATGTTTTTCATATTTGCGAATGGTGTTATGATCGGTTAGGTGATTCCTGACCTGTGACTTTGTTTGGAGCTCAAATTTTGTGAGCATTACATTGGATTGTTTTGCACTTGGTTTGATGTTGTTTTGGTCGACAATGCAGGGATAGGAGAAACAAAGAGGATGACACTTATAACTGCCCCTCCCCATTGGCCATCTTCAAATTTGGATCACAAGAAGGGAGCAACATAGGTGAGAAACAAATTTCTTTGTCTACATTGCAAGAATTTGCAGTTTGCAACTTTCATTGGTTATTATATTTGATTGAGTTGAACTTGGATTTCTGGATTTTGACTTTTTCGTTTGTTTCTCTGTTGCAGAGTTGGCTTCATTTCATTCCAGTGATTCTCTAAATAGGTCCAACAGCTCACTAAATAGGTAATTGTCTTATATCTAGCGATCTATTACCGGTTGAACAATTAATTGGCCATATATCTTGGATTTGCAGCGTTTTCGTTTTGGAAACGTGGGAGACTTTATGAATATCCCTTATATATTTATTGTACAAAATATTAGTTCGCTTACACTTTAATTCTATTCATGGTTGTGGTGTCTTTTTAGGGTAAATGGTTTATATTGAAGTATATTGATACTGCAATTTAATTCTATTCAATAACACTTTTAGTTATTTCTGCTCAAATTTTGGTATCTAGAAACACATTTAGCCTTACCAAAGCATTCCCAGACACACTCCTTAAGTTGATCAATCATTTGTTTTCTTCAACATGGCAAGTTGTTCTTTAATATTTATGTGTATTTGTTAAAAAATCTCTGAAGTGATTTCACTGCTTAATATGGGATTAAGGTTACATTTTTCTTATAATAAAAATCTCTGTATGCCACCCGGACGCTTCCCTTTCAAAGATTCTTTCTTTCCAGTATTTAGGGATTATAAACTGATTTCTCTGCTTAATTGCCGTACTTTCATTGCACACAGATATTCTGGTATACTCACTAAGCATAAATTTAACGGTTTGCAGAAACTTATAATTGTTCCATCCTAAATATCTTCCTTTATTCTTGATGGCATGCTACTTGCTCGACCCTCTCTTGCATCAATTGTGTCACCTAAAATTAAAATGAAATGAAATAGTTTCCCTACATGCTTAATGTTGTGAATGCCGGTGATGTTAGAAATTTAGTGATTGTTGCCTCTCTATAATATATCTGTACTCATGTTTTTGAACAGACGCGTAGTTCAAAAGAACTGGTTGCTGCAAGACGTGTATAATTTCATTTAAAAAAAAAAAAACTGTTTTGGTTGTTGGTGGTGGTTTATCTGTATTTGATTGGTAATTTCAACATTTGATGATTCAATAATATTTTGAACTTCCATTTCTGTTGTTAGAAGATAACATCTCCATCTCGATTCTGCATGATCAAAATGTATGTTTGGCTAAGACAATCATGTTTTACAGGTAGAGAGGAAGCTGCGATTAGAAACAATGTTGAGTGAAATTTAAGTCTTCATTTGACAAAAAAAAAAAAAAAACTTTGATTCAGATATCTATATTTGTTGTTTTATTCATTTGACAATTCGTTGTTTGATTGGTTTTTGCTTTCCTCCACTTTTTAACTCATATTCGTTAATCTACCTATTTTATTTGGGTGATAAGTTCACTCTTTTAATCTTGCTAAAGGAAGATATAGGGTGTGGTTTTGTTAATGGTGGTGGATGATTTGGATGAAAGTATGTATCTTGAGGATTTTTTTTTGCTTGCAGTTGTTTAGGCCAACACTGAAGAAGTTTTGTGAAATGAGATTCTTATCAGATTCTTATACCAAATTGTTTCTCCGTTTATGGCAGGTAATAAACGTGGTCCAACCAGTAGCTGATAAAATGTCATTGTATATATGCTTTTGTCGATTTCTGCTACGATAATGAGGGAATCCAAAGGATCGAGGCCAATCAATCTGAGGTTTGTACCACTCTATCCCTTTCTCTCTTTCTGTGAATTTCTTGAAATTGACGTTGCACGTTCTGATTCTTGCCGTGTTTGGGAGCGGAGAAAGCTCTAGATTAGCTTTGATCACTTTAATTTCTTCTTATTTAGTTCAGCACAGTCAAACTACATAATCCTACTGTTGGGCTATTTCTAGGGACGTTTATGTTTACTTTTGTTAGTTTGTTGACAGTTTGGTATGTCTATCATATTGATGGAACTAAATTGTGAGTTAATTATGGTTTAGGTTGTTGAATTTTGAATTCGAAATTCCCTTTGGAAACTGTCACAAGTGATGTGTCTGTTGTGGCTACAAGAATCAAAAGCGAGTGAAAGGTAAAGCTTCTCTCCAAACATTCATCGCTAGCAATTCCAACCAGAGCGAAGTATATCTCTCCTCTTGCTTTCTCTCTACGATGTTCTATCCCAATTTCTCTCAGACAGTAAGGGTTTTGGTTTGCTTTCTTGGATTAGATTTGTATATATTCTGTTGCATCTCAGTTTTCTCTGATTTAATAGCATAATTTGGCTCTTGGTATTCTAACTTTGCTTTCTTTGCATCAAAATTGTATCTGGTTCTGGGTTTTCTTGATCTAATTTTTTTTATTTCTATGATTAGATAAATTAAGGAAAAAATTTCTATTAGTATATGAGTATTCAATTCTGATATATCATTTTCCTCCATTTGACGTAATTTTGGATTATTAGGACTCAGGCTTGCCTTCCGCGTTTTTGTTGAAAAAAAAGGCTTTTAGCTGAGTAATTTACTAATTTGATTTGTTGATGTGATTTCCACGTACTCTGAATTCAAATAGAAATGCAAGGATATATTAGACTTTTAGTGTTTTCAGGCATTCGCGTGTTTGCTTATTATAGATGATGTATTTCTATAGTGCACTAATATTTGTTTTAAAAAAATTAATTAGTTTTTCCTCCCTGATATTTGCTAAGGCGCTTCTCAAGACGACGTTGGAACGTGCAGGTGATGAGGATTCAGGGGATGAGGAGGAAATGGCAAAGGAGGAGGACCAAAACGCGTTCTCTGTTAGGATAATTGGTGCCCTGAATACCAGAAAGTCTGCGCTCACCACTCATTAATTATATGGTTTGTTCCGTTGGTTTTTATGGTTTAAAGGTGTTTAATTTGATGGTGTTTTTGATAAATTGTTGAAAATATTGTTAGTTTAGTTATTGATTGTATTGAGTTTGGTTTATACTTTTGGTATTAAGTAGTTTTTTCATATCCCTGAACTCCTTTTCAGGCAGAGAAACGTGAGTTCTCTTAAGTGTTTAAGTGAGTGTCAATTAGTGAGTATTTTGTTCGAATATCTGTCCGAACAAAAATTTCTTTGGAATGAAATAAATGAAACAACTTTTGAGACTCCCACATGAGATGTGTATTGGTTCTTAAAGTATAAGACCATAAGTTACATTTTCATTCCCATTTACAGAAATATAACTTGCAGAATTAGTTAAATGTATCAAATGACTAGCATGTGAATTTGTGTATAGTTAAAAATAATCTTATCCTTAAGGATTATTAATTGGGTAAATTTGGTTGAGTAAATTTAGGGTTATTGATTGGGCTAATTTGGTTGTTTAGTTGATCTAATTTGGATGGGTTTGAGGGTTAGTTTCTAGGAATGTTACATTGGTGTTCTTTTTCTTCTACACAGTTACCAAAATCTCAAGTCCCCATTTGATCGAGTACAACCCAATCATATTTGCTGTAATACAATCATATTCTTGAGGTTTGGATTTTTTGCTCTCATTTTTCTGCCCAATCATATTGGCTCATGCTTTCGCTGTTAGAAAATACATGCATGTTCTTTATAAACTAAAATACACTTCTCAGATTGCTATGATTATTGGATTGGATTTTCTTATTTACCTTCATATAATGGTGGGTTTAACTTTTCAGGTGAAAGTTTTTACGCAACCTCATTACTTGCAAAATTTTGTTCAGTCAACATTCAATGTCCTGCCATCAGATCAAGTTAAAGGTACGAATCACTATCATACTATTTTCGTCACTTTTTATTCCCTTGCTGCACACAATGGAGTGAATTGTTTTCATTTGCATTCTTGCATTTGAACTTATGGATGTTCTTACCTGACATTTGTAAGCTTTTGATTAGTCATGAAATATGATACATTTTCACTGTGTTAACAAACTTATGACATACATTCAGTTTCTTTTGGTTGGATTGAAATGATATTGATTATGCTGTTATAAAGCTCATTTTTATAGTTGGGTTGAAAATCATGTTAATAGAATCTTTTTTTGGTTGGTCTGACCCCATTCACTCATCTATCTCTCTGTTTATTCATAATTGTGTTGAATTTATTCAAGTAAAATGTGTCTTATTCATGCAGTTCAAGGTGATGCATTCAAGTCCCGCAGCAACGCGCGGGCATATTTTCTAGTTACTCCTATATCATTCTCATACCTAAAAATATAAGTAAACATGCCCGGCTTCCTTGTTGGCTCCACTTACACCTATAATGCTAGGAATAAATAAATAATTTTATTTTGTGTATAACGATATTCAAACTCGTCACTCACTATATTTGAAACTAAGTCTTCTCACTTATAAGTTACAAATGAAATGAAATACTAACAGACCATAATACAAAATAACCAACTAAACACTTTAGCCGTTGGAAGACTATAAATAAATTCGAAGGGACGTGTGTACCTTTTATGCGGAAGCTTGAATCTCAACATGCTCCTACGTACAAACACGAACAACTGCTCTGACCCTCCGTGCACATCTAAAACCTCGCAGGTCCTCGGGTTGGCTACGGTATGTCGAGTTGCCCCTTGGTTTTCGCCTCCCAAGGCCTAGAGCCGAAAGTGATAGCTCTAAAGACCTAACTAGAATATTTGAACTGTGGAAAAGCTTGTGTTTCTTATATTTTCTCTCTTCCCCAAAGCCTCCTTATATAGTGGTTGGGAAGAGTGTACAAAGATTGAAAAGCCCATGAAAATCCCAAGTATATTCTAATATGAATATCTCTTGATTTTCATTTAATTATCACCTAGATAATTAGGTGGTTAATATCCTCATGTGGGTGGAATATCCTTTGATATTTATTCATCCCATAAGATAAATCCTACATCTCCCACTCACCCACATAGGGTGTGGCATAGTCTCAATCAACACACTTAGTTCACATCCATTCTAGTCTATCTCCTCATACAGGAAATGGGACGCGTGACCTCGCGATAAAGAATGTACATAACCAGGAGCACTGCCATTAAGCTATCACTAAACTAACAACAGTGCATCACTCCAAAGTTCATTGCTTTATGCCCCAGACTGTTCGTCACACACCAGATTTGACATTCTTTATCCCTCATTATGAAATAAAAACAATGTTATGTCTCATAAGTATCATGTATCCATGTCTTATGTTTGATGACAAATATCAAAAGACGTCGTGCAGCTAATGAATCACATAACATAGTGTTTTCTTCGAATTGTCTTCCTTAAGCTCTCATGTCAAGCTAATTTGATTTAACTGCTTGCATAGACACGCCTCTTAGGACAGTAGCTAACTTGACCGTCTTAGATAAACGTGCTAAAATAGCGATCATTAAACCTCATCTTTCTACATAGATTTTAGTTCAAAGGGCATAAGGGTAGAATCGTATAGATTCCTTATGATTCACATAGTGACTGAAGTAGGGATCAATTCATCACTCCCACTATCAATCAGTTATAGCACATACAATATGATTTGTATGCTATGGTGTATCCTCATTTCAATGAATGTGCCACATGTCCATTGTAAATACACCTTATGGATCTTAGTCTAGTAGCTACACAAGCGCCTAACTTGAGTCTTCTAGCCTAGTCACCTTCTCGGCGCTCACCTAAATCCTCATATCTGGCTTGAAAACAAATCCCATGTTCGACTTCTGTTAAGCATCGCGTGCATCAGACTTCCTACTGCAGAGGCATAAGGGACGTTTACCATTTGTTCATTCTCTTTCTTAGTCTTTGGACAATGTTCTAAGGACCATATCACACCTTTTTTTCATAGGAGTGTCTATGGGTTTGGAGTTCTCCATCTTAAATTGTTCAAGTATCTTCTTAATGTAAGTCTCTTAAGACAAACTTAGAAGTTTCCTTGAGCGATCTCTGTGATCTTAACTCCAAGCACATAATGTGCTTTACCCGTATATGTCATCTCAAAATGGGATGACAACCATGCTTTCGTGGTTTCTATGGAGGTTTTGTCATTTCCCATCATTAAGATGTCGTCAACATACAGAGAAAGTATGAGAATACTTTTCCCAGATTTCTTAAGATATACAAAGTGGTATTCCTCAATCATCTCAAAACCAAATGAAGTGATTAAATTATGGAATCTAATGTTCCACTGTCTAGACGCTTGCTTGAGGCCATATATGGAACATTTTAGGCCGCAAACCTTGTGCTCTTGTCCCTTGGCCTCAAAGCCTAGAGGTTGATCCATGTATATCTCCTCGTCTAGTTAACCATTGAGAAATGCTGTCTTAACATCCATTTAGTAAAATTCCAAATCTAGTTGAGCAACAATAGCTAAAATGAGGCGAATAGAGGCAAACTTCACCATAGGGGAGAATGTCTCTTCATAGTCTATACCCAATTGCTTAGTGTATCCTTTCGCCACAAGGCGCGCTTTATATTTGTCAATTGAACCATCTGCCTTGCGTTTGATTTTTAAAACCCACTTGTTTCCAATGGTTTTACGCCCAGGCGGAATGTCAACTAACTCCTAAACAGTATTTTTGTCCATGGAGCTCATCTCTTCCTCCATTGCAGTTATCCACTTTTCTTTGGCCGTTAAAGACAAGGCTTCTTTGTAAGAAGAAGGTTTGTCTTCCTCTAAAGGTATGCAAATGTAGGTCTCCCCATCAACCTCAAAATAACGTTTGGGAATGTAGCCTCTCTTGCTTCTTCAAACTGTGCGACCTTGGATTTCAAAGGGTATGCTTCTATCATTGGGCGTATTCTCTTGAGTGTTTTTGGATGCATTACTCCCACTGGGTTGTGTACTCCTACTCGGATCAAGTCCTCTTACATCATATTCAGCGACCGTTGGATTGGAAATTAATTCTCCTCATTCACTTGAAGATGTTATGAGTTCTTCATCTTTCACTAACTCATGGAGATCAAGGTTTTTGACAGTATTGCCAAGTTTTGGGAAGTCATTCTCTATGAATTCCACATTATGTGAATCAATCTCGGTTCTTCCTCCATTTGGATGTTCACCATACATCACATAACCTTTTGAGTTTTCACAATATCTTATAAAAATATGTTTATTTGCTCTATGACCCAACTTTCCAAACTTATGTGATTGTTTATGAACAAATTCAGCACAACTCCAAGGATGCAAATTACCCATATTGGGTTTTACCTAATTCCAAAGTTCGTATTGGGTTGAGGGAACCGTCTTTGAAGGCACACAATTAAGTATATACGTTGCAGTCAATAATGCATCACCCCAGAAAGATATGGGGAGATTTGCCTGCGCCATCATAGACCTGACCATGTCTAATAAAATTCTATTTCTCCTTTCAGCAACACCATTTTGTTATCGCGTGTAAGGAATAGAAAGTTGTCTGCGTATCCCTTTATTTTCACAAAAAACCTTGAATTGGTCAAACAAATACTCGCGTCAACGATTAGTACAAAGAACTTTTATATTCTTCCTTTTTTATTCTCAACCTTAGCTACGAAGCATTTGAATCAATCTAAATTGTCATAATGATGAGCGATCAAGTACACATAACCATATCGCATGTAATAGTCAATCAAAGTCAAAAAATAAGAGACGCCATAACAGGCCTTCACACTCATTGGTCCACAGATGTCAGAGTGGATTAACTCTAATGGTTGAGTAGCTCGAACAACCTTTCCAAAAGGCTTTCTAATTGCTTTGCCAGCTAAACAAGGCTCACATATAGGCAAATTGACATTAGTGAGTGGGCTCAACAGGCCTTCTCTAACTAACCTTGTCATCCTATCTTGCTCTATATGCCCTAGTCTAGCGTGCCATGTTTCATAACTAACATGTTTAATAACAATTACTAACAAAGTAGAAGAACAAGAATCAATCAATCAATCCAAGCAAACAAAATCGTACTTTATTAAACCATATCCAATTTCAACTTGATCCAAATAAATCACAAGTCT